CCCAAGCCTGGAAGTAACTGGCCACTGGGACATGTAAGCTTACATAAAGCAAAATTTTTTGTTTGCTTAAGTCAGACCAGGATAGATTCTCTACTCCTCGAAGAAAGAAGTCCCAAGTATCACATCAGTCACTGGAGTTAAGGGGTCCTCTGCCACCCAGATGGATCAACTGCTAAAAGCCTCTCTCTCCTGTGCTTCTTTTTATAGATAATGTCATGTTAGAATCCATTCTATGTTAGAATCCTGTTTGTGATGAAAACGACAGCTAACATTTTAAAGGCATTTAACAGCAGGTTGTATATTTGAATAATATTATATTAGCTGATGTTAACTAAATATTAATGTAATAAAATATAACATATTGTAATGATTCTAGCACCATTCCACTGTGTGGAATTTTTCCCGTACCACCAAGCAATTCTCGGACATTAGCAAGGTGTACTACAATTTAACTCAATTGTGACGCTATCTACATGGAGATAGCATCAGATCTCACAGCTTACAGGGCGAGTCCCACAAGACTGCCCCTCATTCCAGATGCCAATCTGAAGTCCACCTTGCCAACCTGAGCTTCTGACTGATCGGAGGTTTCAATGACCCCCTCCTTGGGTTCGACTAATTTGCTAGAGCGGCTCACAGAACTCAGAGAAATATTTTACTTACTATATTTCTAGTTTATTATAAGAAGACAAAACTCAGGAACAACTAGATGGAAGATATGCACGGGGCAAGGTATGGGGAAAGGGCACACAGCATGTATGCTCTGTGGGCATGCCACTCTCTCCAAATATCCACATGTTCTCTAACCCAGAAGCTCTCTGAACCCCATCCTTTGAGTTTTTATGGAAGCTTCATTACTTAGTCATGATAGATTAAATCATTGGACATTGGCTATCAATTCAACTTCTAGCCCTTCTCCCCTCCGTGGAGGTCAGGGGTGGTGGTACTGGAAGTTCCAAGCTTCTAATCACATGATTGATTCTCCTGGCAACCAGCTGGCATCTTTAGGTGTTTTCCAAAAGTCACCTCATTAACATAAGAAGACACTTTTACTTCTTCCATCACTAAGGAAATTCCAGTGGTTTTAGGAGCTCTATGACAGGGAAAGGAATGAAGACCAAATATGTACTTCTTATTATAAATCACAATATCACATATTGCAATATAACACAATGTAATATATTAACTAATAATAACTAAACTTCTAGTTTTATTGTGAAAATTATACAAAGTCAAAAATGGAGAGAAGAGTGCAATAAGTTCCCATATATAAATCACCAGCTCTCAACAATTATCAGGCTTTTGCCATATTTGATTCATCTGTCTTCTTTCTTCCTTACTTAATCATTTCAAAGAAATTTGAAACATCACACCTTTTCTATCTTAAATGTTTCACTATGCTCCTCTAAGAAGTACAAATGTTCTCTAACATAACTGCAATGTTATTCTTACATCTAACAGAAATAATACCCAGTTCATTATCGAATTTCACTGATTGGCTAAAAATTATTTTTGTAACCTGGCTTTTGAATAAATTATATTTATGAAACACATATTATGTGTGAGTCATCTTCTGGGCATTTTACATGTGTTTTCATAACAACCTCTGAAGATTAGAGATGTTTGATCACTTGCCTAAGAACTGTGAAACTAAATATCCTAAGCCATAGACATCTAACAATACCAACTCCTTTGTTTTCCTGAACCTTTATTAGTAAATTTCTTCTTTTTAAATTTCTAAAAAATTACAAGAATGAGATTATTTTGTTTCTCTTATGTGGGATACCACGAAAGCATGGCTTGATGAGTAGTGTGTAGGTCCACGCCCAGGATTCAAACCAGTGAACCCTGGACCATGGAAGTAGAATGCACGAACTTAACCACTACACCACTGGGTCAGCCCCCCTCTTCCATATTTCCACTTCTCCTTTTGGTGTGAAATTGACCAAATGTTTTATAAATCTGCAAAATATACAAGGATGCTAATTTTCAGGAGGAAAGCTACCCTTGTTGGAGATTTAAAATTTAAAGCAAACCATTTTGGGGAATATATTTTACATATGTTCCTTTTGCACCTAGGAATGTAAGGTCTCCCTACATCCTTGTTTGGCATCTCATGGTTGGCCCCTTCTTGCTTTCTGTATCTTTAGTCGCACAGGGCACAGTATTTCCATAAAGTCTGAATTTTTCCTTACCTGCTTCCTAACTGCAACCTCAGACACTACTGCTTTCCCTTCTGTCATCTCCCTGGGTCTCCAATACTCCAAACCTTCTTGCCCTTGTTTCTTTTCCACCGACAGAAGACGCTGTGCAAAGGCAGCTTGCACCTAATTTTTGTTCCCACTCTTGCTCTAAATAATATTTCAAAACTAATCAAAGCGATTTGAGAAACAAGCAGGGAAAGTTGGCATGACTCGGAATGTGGGAGCCCACATTGATCTTTTAAAAAACATGAATGCTGGTAATACTTTAAGAGAAATAAAGAATTGTTCAGAGAAGTCTTGGATGTGTCCCACGTGAATGCAGGCAATGGTTTGAATGACCTAGTTTGGACGCATCCTTAAGAAGTTTTAACATTCCTCTGTGGAAGACCTGTGCTGCTGAGGTTAGGAGGTTAGTTTGGAACAAGATCAAAAGAGAAAATGTGTAAGCTGTACATTATGTTCTGTTCAGAACACATTATATTCTGTTCAGAAGATATTTCATGTCACATAGGCATAAACTAGAGTTGAAATATTGATGGATTAATTTCCTGATCGAGTATGAATTAGTACATCATCAGGTTGATTCTGTGCATATTTGTTCTCTCCCAACCTCTCTGTTCCTTCTTCTCTGGCTTGGGATGCAGCCCACATTGACAGCATGAACACCTGCTTTATAAATCAGTGAATTATTAACTGTTTGACTCTGACGTGTTGCACCACAGTGAGGAAGAAGGAGGGGGTAAGGACCACAGACCCAGTCTAGCCTACCTAGGTGGTGATATTCAATCTTTCAAGGCCTGCTCAACCTTGAACATACCAACTTACCTGAAGGTAGCAGAGATGAACATAGCTAAAGGAGTGTGTCCTCTGCCCTGTTCCAGCTTAGGAAGATTCAGCACTGAGGGTCAGAATTTCACTATGCCCCACTGGAACTACTCAGCCAGATCCATTTCTGCTTATTCTGTTTATGTTATCCTTTCCAGTACATAACACTGGGGAACTGGTGTTATCCCATTGTAAAGTCCAAAGTCTCTGTGAAAGCTTTCTGTTAAGGTGGAGAATGTGAAAGGAAGAATGTGTTTTCTGAGGTCATAACATAAGGTGTGCAAAAATGGTAAATTATAATAGAGGAGGTATAAGGTAATAGAAAAACTCAAATATGAAAGCAGAAGTAATTCATCATTTCTCTCCCTTAGCTCTGGCCAATGGAAAGCGCAGAGCCAATTTTACTTTCCCCACATACATTTCTGTGTTGTGTCTATTGACTTCACTGGCTTCATTCTATTATTTAATATATAGATATAGATGCTCAATTTTATTACTCAAAATATTATATCTTTCATTTTTTATATGTTTTATCACTTCATTTACAGTATGTGGGGCTCTGGGAGCATGCAGATCTGGACAGGAATCCAGGTTTTTCTACGCAAAAGCTACACAAATTTGGACAGATTCATTCCTAATTCATTCCTTCTTTTACCTGTTCATGACTTATTCTGCCAATGTTTATTGAGTGATAACTAAGTCCTACATAATGTACAAATAATGGGGTTACAGTGGTGAACAAAACTAATTAAGGTCTTCGTTCTTGGAGTTTATGGTCCATTGGGGGAGGCATTAATCCAACAATCATACACAGGGGTTTATAAAGATAAACTGAGATAGGGGCCGGCCCGGTGGCGCAGCGGTTAAGTTCGCACGTTCCGCTTCTCGGCGGCCCGGGGTTCGCTGGTTCGGATCCCGGGTGCGGACATGGCACTGCTTGGCAGCCATGCTGTGGTAGGCGTCCCACGTATAAACTAGAGGAAGATGGGCACGGATGTTAGCTCAGAGCCAGGCTTCCTCAGCAAAAAGGAGGAGGACTGGCAGTAGTTAGCTGAGGGCTAATCTTCCTCCAAAAAAAAAAAAAAAGATAAACTGAGATAAGTTCTCTAGAAAAAAGAAAAAGAAGTGATAAACCACTTGGTTTTGTGAGAAGATATATCCAAAGAACCTGACCACATTGAAGTATTGGACAACTTGATCTCTTTGAGCATTCATTTCTTTATCCACAAAATAGAAATAATAATAGTAAATACAAAATAGGTTTGTCTTGAGGATTAAATGTGAAATCATAGATAAAGTGCTTAGAATAGTGCCTGGAAAAGACTAGGGTCTCATTAATTTAAATGTTCACTGCTATTGTGTTTTATTACATTCTGTTAATATCATCCTAAAACAATAATAATGAGATAGACAGATCATTTGAGAGTTGGAGGAAACTTTAAGATTATCCTGTTGAGAATAAGTGGACTTCAGAGGTTGGCAAACATTCAAACACTGCAGTGTTTTATGAATGTTCATTTATTTCTAGGATGATAATCCATAGGTTATATCAAAATCTTTTAAGTCTATAACTCAAAAAATAAGTTAAAAATCATTAAACATAATATTCTTCACCAGATGGATAAGAAAACCAAGAGTTGTTCTTCAATAACGTTTTATGAACTTCTCCATAATGAACCTTCATCTCGCTTTCTCTTTTCAAAGCATTTTTTTCTGGTTATCTTAAGGCTTCTTTTGCTGTTGTAAACTGGATTTTTATTGGGATTTCTATAGTGTTTTTACTGATATACGTGAAAGTTGTTATTTCTGTACCAAGTTGTCGATATTTACCAAGTGCTCGTGTGACCCCTTATTGCCTCTAGATTATCACGGGCTTTCTATGCATATAGATATATTGGAGACAAAACATGATTTTGTCTCATCCTTTCTAATCCATATGTCTCATTTCTTTTCCTTCTTTTGTTGTGTTAGAGAAGCTCTCCATCGTGGTGCAGAAGAGGGCAGTGATGGTGTGTATCTTTACCTTATTCCTGAACTTTACTGGAAACCTTCCTCCAACCATCGGGATTTTATTATTACAAGCTACAAAAACCATTTCTGGCTTCTTAAGGAGAATGTAAACTCCACAGGGCAGAGATTTTCATCTGTTTTGTTCACTAATGTTTGAGTTAACTCTGAACAATGAGTGGCACATAGAAGACACTCAATAAAGGTTGTTTAGTGAAAATGGGAACAAAAAGCAAGAGCAGAGGTTGATATCAAAAAATAAGTTAATCTGAGAGTGGGTGTTTGTGTGTCGTTCTTCGTTAGTTTGGAAGTGAGCAACCTAAAATGACATGTGATGAAAGTTGCAGACCCCCTCAGTTATATTAAAAAAGCCCTTGAAGAGGGTGGGATTTCGTTAAGCCTAAGTAACTAAACTACAATGCACAATCTCTATTCACCCAAGAACTTGGGAGAGGGACATTCACTCTTCACTTCACACATATTCCATGTTAACACACCGATTGCCCTGCCCTTACCACCCACAGACCGTGACTTCAAGGGAAGGAACTTGACTGGGATTTCTAACCATGCCGAGTCAGCAATGTGTTTGCATTGACTTTTCTTGTGCTACTCATGAGTAGTCTTGAATATCAGAACCACCCGGATCCAGTAGCAAGACACCTGCCCCCCACACCCACCAATTTCAGAGTGAAGCTATTGGTTACCAACACGTTGATTCTGAAGAAAATATCATATCCTCCTTTTTCAGGGCTTTCCATGAAAAATGGTTTAAGGTGTTTCTTTTAGATATATTAAAAAGCTGAGTGCTTACAACTGCTGGCACATTTCCTGACACCTAAGAGGTGCTCAAACTGATGAATAAGTGGCTGTGTTTCTTCTTCTATCTGGCTTTTTGGTTGGTTTGTAGAACTGTGGTAGTTGAGGGGACATAGGGAAAATAGAAATGGGTGTGAAGATGATTTATAGAGGAGTGGAAACTACAAACCATGTGATCTAAACAGATAAAAAAGAAAATGAACTTTTATACCGTTCTCATGTTATTAGGAAATAATATCTTGTGTATATAATCACACAAAAAGGGGCACAAATTCAGTTACTGTTTATATAGGTACTTTTCTATTAAATTTTTTGCAGAGTAGTATTTACCTATCAAACAAGATGCTCTGAATCCCAAGAAACTTAGTAGATAATTTGAGATACACCATCAAGAAGCAGTTCAGTGTGAAATATCATAGATTCCTCCAGAGACCACTTCAACTAATCTTTTAGTTTTCTTCACTACATTGAAGAGCAAAGATATACAAACAGAAACATATTTGCGTTTAAGTCATCCAAATATTAACCCAATGAAATATACATATGTATGCCCATACCACAGTGGGAATAGACGAAGTCTACTTCAAGATTCATTTTAATTAACCTTAATGTTTATCTTTGTAAGTGGAAATTTAATTTCCCTAGTCTCTCTTTAGCCATGTGAAGTTTATTTTTTATGTCTAAGCATATTAATAATTCTGACTAGGAATAAACTAAAATCTAGAGATTTTAATCTAAGTGTAAAAATGAGCTTTTTATGACATTATAGGCCAAAACACTAATTATACATTTATATCCATTTGAGGATATTATGAAGTAAACATATGAATCTAAAAAAAATCCATGAACTTTCGGAATATTTTATTTTGTTGAAGATCTAAGCTAGTGCTGTCTGATAAAAATACAGTGCAAACATATACATAATTTTATATTTTCTAGTACTAATAAAAATAAAATGAAATAGGTGAAAATAACTTTAATTATATATTTTATTTAACCCAATATATCTAAAATAGTTTCATCTCAACATGCAATCAATATAAGAAATTATTAATGAACTATTTTACTTTCTTTTTTCTCGTAGTAAGTATTCAAAGTCCTGGATGTATTTCCCATTTAGAGCACATCTAAGTTGGCTCAGCCACATTTCCTTTGCTCAGTAGCCACATGTGCCTGGTGACGACCAAGGTGGGCAGTGCGGGTGTATGCCTAGTCAAGGAACAGCTAAACTGGAGCTGCCCTGCAGGTCAGCAGCAGCATTTAGGAGGGTGGCACCTTGGCTCATCAAAACTTTTGATTGCCCCTCCCTTCTTTCTCTCTTTCATCCAGTAAGTGTCAGAAACTTAAGTAATGTGCTATGGAGATCAAATTTCTTACAAATATATTTTGAACAATACATCTAACTAATAATAATAACAATAAAAAGGCCTTTCCCTTTCCTGTGTAAACTTCTTTTGAATGGAACCTATTTCATCTGTAAAACCTCCAAATAATATTCAGCGCTCACATTTCCCCTTGGGGCTAAAGGAAGAAGTTAAAGCCTCCCTTTAAAAAATGCAAACAATACCTTAAAAATCCTTTCACCTCAAAATAAAGGAAAACGCATTTCCAGGAAACTAAATTATGTTCTATTTGACTATATAGAATATGACTTTTATTTATTTAAAAACAGATTTTTTTTTGAAAGGAATGTGTTAGACATGTTGATAAAAAAGCACTTATTTGTGGTCAAGGTATACTGCTGCTCCTTGATTCATACAAAATATGTTCAGCTATTATTATTAAGGTTTCTTGAATCTTATTTCTACCTATATGTTTATATACAGAAGTGTCAAGGAGTAGATTTAACTGGCATGAATTAAATTACATGTGCTTGGCAATGGAAACTAGAAAAATAATTTAAAGTAAGTTCAATATATTTTTCATGAATACTCTTCCACATGCACACAAATGCACTGCAGACATGAACAAATTATTCATAGCATCTTTGTTGCCAAAATCCAGACATTGGAAGCATCTTAATTATCCATCAGTAATAGAAAGAATAAAGATGCTGAGACACATTCATATCCTGGAAACCATAAAACAATGAGAATGAATGAACTGTAATGGGATGCATCAATAGGATTGACTGTTCATATTGAAACAAAATGTTAACCAAAAGATGCAAAGCACAAAGTATATCCAGTATGATTTCATTTATATTAAGTTCAAAATATTAGACTATACTGTTTAGTGGTGTGTACTTGTGATAAACTATGGAGAAAAATGTGGAACCGATTATCCTAAAAACCAGGAAATTGATTACCTAGTGAGAGGCAGGAAATGTGATGGTAAAGGGATAGCTTCTGGGGGCTAGCAGTGTTCTCTTTCTTGACCTGGTTCTTGGTTACATGGATCCTTGCTTTATAATTATTCATTCTACTATGCAACTAGGTTTTGCATACTTTTCTTTATGTGTATTATACAGTTAAAATGGTTTTGTGTGTATGCATATTTGCTCCCCTAAATTTCATTTCATTTATTTCAGACTACTGTGTCTCCTATCACACTATTAGCTTTCTTCTACATTTCGGGTTGTATAGGGATTTGGTAAATGTATCAACTAAGTCTTCCTTCAACAAGTTGTTGATTAAAACCATGAAAAGAAAAGGACTGGGTTGAAGTCTCTATAGCACACTACTTAGATACCTCTCATTAGATTGTAGAAATAGTAGTAATATTAGTATCAGTAATGGTCATTATAACAATAATCAGATGGTAAAATTTCCTCAGCTTGGACACTCTATGTATATTTTACATATGTGATTTTATATAATGTTACAGATCATTATTATTGTAACTCCTTTCCAAGTCATTATTGTTATCCCCATCTTGGAGGTAAATAAACCCAGCCTCAGAAAATTTAAATAACATGCCCAAGATCACACAGCTATGAAGGAATAGAACCAGAATGTAAACCCAGATTTGTCCGATTCCAAAAACTGTGCTCCTTTCTCTCTCCTGTCTTGCCTTCTTGCTGTGTTTTGAAGCATTATTCAACAACGATCTTTAGTTCAGTCAGCTGTAAATCCACCTGCTCAAGGCTCTCCAAATGGTAGGCTCCCACAGCACTTCTCTGGTTTCTTCACAGCATCTGTAAAAGACAGTAATGAAATAAACAGGTCCAGTGAGGCCATGAAAAGTGTTCCAGATTCTTTTGTTTGCTCATCTAGCCTGGTCACAGAAAGAGTAACTTGATGTCACCTTGTTTTTAAGACATGTTACCTCTTTCTCAGTGATAAATAAATTCTTTCATTAAATATGTTCACCTACCATTTGTTATATAAGTACATAGAAAATTCCCAGAGAATAGCATCAAGGTTTCCTATAGTTCATCTTCCTTTGCCGTCTCCTTTTTAAAATAGAGAAAAAATTTTTCTGTCTGAGATCTTATGGTACCACTCTAATTCTTGCAATTCTCACTGATTTCTGTCTTCCTTCAGTCCTACCAGCAAGGTCATTCTATAACTTGTTTGGGCCCGAATTTGAACTCGTTAAAAGTGACAAGATGCCCTCTTGCTCTATCCTCATCTAGTTGGAGATTTAGTTCTCATTTTATATTTTTTCTTCTTTTTTCCACTTTAAGTATAATTTTCTTTGAAAATAGGGTAGTCATTTGTTTTCACAATAAACATAGGGTAGTCATTTGTTTTCATAATAAATTTAAAATAACTTTTCTTGCTTGTCTTTCTTCTCTTCCAAGTCTAGTATAGAATTTAACTTCAGATAACATCTCTTCTCCACGTTTTTCCACCCCCCCCCAAATTAAACCCAAAGTATCATGGTTCCTTTTGATTTATGATTCTCATCTCTGAGAGGGCCCATCTTGTCAAAATTATATAAAAGTCCTCAGTGAGACTCAAGTAATCTTGGGGGGAATTTTTTGATAAAAAGAAGAATTTCCCAGTAATAACTTTAAAAAAAATCCTTATAACCATGTATCGGGTTTAATATAATCTACATTTACAAGCTGTCATGGAATGAAAGTGCAACCACACAAACTAAAAAGATGAATCTGAGGAGAGATGTATGGGGTAGTGAAAGAAACCTATCTCTTTAACTTACTTGCTATTTTGTTTTTACTTTCTTTAAAAAATATATTTTACAAACTGAAAAGGACAACTGTTGAATCCTTACCAGTTAACCTATCCTAAAATTCAATACATTTTCATCTTTTGCATTTTGATTAACAAATTGGAGACTTTCTGATTTATCTACATTTTACTATATTTATTGTGATTATTTTGGCATGAATGTCTATATGAAGCTTTTGGAAATGCATGAATAGTGTTTCATGCTATATATTTGTTTTGGTATCAAGACCAAAAATTTCTAATTGTTTAAGAAACATGTTTTGGACGGATGAGTGGATAGATGTACAAAAAGAAGTCAGATTATGGGGCCGGCCCGGTGGCGCAGCGGTTAAGTTCGCACGTTCCGCTTCTCGGCGGCCCGGGGTTCGCTGGTTCGGATCCCGGGTGCGGACATGGCACTGCTTGGCAGCCATGCTGTGGTAGGTGTCCCACGTATAAACTAGAGGAAGATGGGCACGGATGTTAGCTCAGGGCCAGGCTTTCTCAGCAAAAAGAGGAGGACTGGCAGTAGTTAGCTGAGGGCTAATCTTCCTCAAAAAAAAAAAAAAAAAAAAGAACTCAGTTTAGTGGTCTATTTCATGAGAAATACCCAAGTCGCTTTGTGTGTGTCATCTGACACCAGTGGTACCACTTTTCCTTTCTAGGAGCTACTGTGCTTAACATAGCTACTTCTTCATTTTAAAGCACTACTCCTAGTTTATTGTGTCATCTTGTTTTTCCTGTATATATAAAAAATAGTTTGGGGTCACAAAGTAGAAGAACTTCATGGACTCTAAATTATTCCCATTCCCTATAAACTATAGGATATGGGTTCTTAGAAAACAAAGGGGGAAAACACAGAATCCCCATGAGTTTGTCTCATGAATCTTCCTAGAATGTGTCTATACCCACAGGCTTCATTTCCTTACCACCCACATATTCATCATTTGATTTCAAAATTAAAACACCATTTTTCTCTGATTATAAAAACTGTTCATTCTTATTGTTAACAATTTAAAGAGTCTTGAAACTGTGAAGAAGTAACTAAACCAAAAAAAGAGGTATAAAGAGGAAACTAAAGCCCATCCCCCAGGGAAGTTTACCATATTGAAATTTTGGTTACTCTCCTTCCAGGCACCCTAATATCCGTACATAACTTAAGGAACACTGTGTCATACCCTACACACTATTTCTATATTTATTTTTCAATATGATTAAAAGAAAACCCTATAATTCAGTGAAGCAAATACCATACATCCACTTAAAGCCATCATGAAGAGCTGTTTCACTTTATATCACTGGTTCTCACCCAACAGTGATTTCACCCCACGGTAGACATTTGGCAACGTCTGGAGACATTTATTTGTCACAATTTGGCATGGGGGAGGGGAATCCTACTGGCATCCAGTGAGTAGAAACCAAGGATGCTGCTATACAATAC